TATGAAGGGGAGCTTATGGTACTATAGATTTTATTTGATCTATCATTTTGGCCCCCAAATCTTTAAAAAATTGATTTCAGTTAAAGCATTTTTTTTACCCTTTTCTCTCCATTGAACAGCAAAAAAACCACCAAAACAAAAAACTAAAAAACAAACCAAAATATCCATTGTAACAAATATGCATAGTTAAGCAAAGCAAATTCTTGAATTGGCCATGACCAAAAATGTGTCTCACTCTGCATTTTGAGTCTAACACCTTAGTGTCAGGTAGTGGGTATTGTATTTTGTCATCAGTCATCTGGAATTATATACTATCATTTATTCAGCCATTGCCCAACTGATAGGTATCCCCTTAGTTTCTAGTTCTTTGCCATCACAAAAAAAAGTTACTAGAAATATTTTTGAATATAGGTGTCATTTTCCTCTGTCTTTGATCTCTTTAAGGATGCAATCCTAGCAGTGGAATCACCTGGCTTAATTATTTGGGGGGCACAGTTTCAAATTGCTTTCCAGAATGGCTGGATCAATTCACAGCTCCACTAATAGTGCATTAGTATCTGGTCCCCAAATTTAGATAGGGTAAATGAATTTAGCTGTGCAAATCTAGCTCTCAGCCTATGAAGAAAAGGAAGGCCAGTCGTTGGGGAAAAGACCCCTTTGGTTACAACACACTGTCTTGAGCGGAATCCCTATAATAAGTCTTGGATGGCGATCCAGAGGGAGGAGGAGACACAGCCCCTTCTCTTTTGGGTGACGGGCACACATTTTTTCACACAGAGGGAAACAGATCTAGCAGCAGCTGGTCCAGAGATCTAGTTGGTAGCATGGGGAATTAGTCTGGGGTGAGGAACTGGAAAGTAGTTAATCTGGGAAGGCTTCCTAGATGAAGCAAACTTTGAGAGGGAGTTGGGATGAAGGGAGACATAGCATTTAGTGACTGAGTCATGCCACCTGCACTTGGAATCCAAAGATCTGGGTTCTAGTACTGGTTCTCTCACTTACCTATGTAACCTTGGGCAAATTACTACCTCTCTCTGAGCCTCAGTTTTCTTTTCTTTGGACTAAAGGGGCTGGATTAGATGATCTCTACCCAGTTTCTTTTGGGAGGAAGGAAACTAGCAGTTATCAAGTTCCTACTATCTGACAGGTACTTTACACATATTAGCTCATTTACTCCTCACAACAACCCTGGGAGGTAGGAGCTGTCACTTTCCTCAGTTTATAGTTGAGGAAACTGAGCCAGACAAAGGTTCAATGACTTGCCCAGTATCACACAACTAGTGTATGAAATTGGATTTGAATTCAGGGCTTCCTGACTCCTGGCCCAGAGCTCTACCACTGTGCCACCTAGCTGCTTCTGGGAGAAGGTAACCTTGGTTGGTGGGGACATTGAGAATAGCCTCTGGGATCAAGACAGCATGAAGGGTGTGCGTGTGTGTTTTGGGGATGGGGAATGGGGAGTCTAATAAAAGAAATGACTAGGAGAAATGGCTGAATGGCATAGAGGGAGGGGCCTAGAATTTAATCCTCAGGGCAGACACTCTCTGTCTCCCTACAGTGATAATATATGACTGATAAAATGCAGCCCGGTCCCCAAAGGCTTAATGAATACGTGCTAACTGACAAACTGTCTGTGTCTCTCTCTCTCTATCTCTCTCCTGGGGTGATGTTGAGGGTAGGACAGATTCTGCCTGCCTTTGGATTACTGAAGACCTCCCCTGCCCTCACTGTTTCTAGCTTTCCCAGACACCATGATGGAGATGCTTTCTAATTCCTCTTTCTGGGCAGGGGCAGGGGGAGTTTACATGAAGGACATGATGGATGGGGAGAGAGAATTCAGTGTTCAGCACAGAGAAAGACTTTATGGGAGTGTATAAAAGAAAAGAAAAACAATGACAGTGATTGATCCCTGGACCTTCCAATCACTCATTCCTAGGTCTTAAGGCCTCTTCCTCTTCACTTTATTCATCCATACAATGGAGGATCATTTCCATTTTCTCTTTGTTTCTTTTAGATTTTTCTCTTTGGTTCATACAACTCCTAGTTATTTAAGCGCATATCATTTCTGTGTGGATTATCCAGGTTCCAGCTCAAGTCTCTGCCTTTTTCTACTTTTCCCTCCTCGAGTGGCTGCCTGTCTACTCAGGCCTGGGCTAGTAGGGCAGGAAAATGACAGGGAAGAAAAATTCCCCTTCTTTGCTTCTCACTAGCAATACTTTCCAAAAACAGGATGGGAAGTTAATAGGTAATAGTAACATTTGTGGCTGGAGCGAAGATTTGAATGAGGATTCGTGTGTCTCTATTATCCAGGCACCTCTAGCCAATGGGAACATTAGGAGTGACATGTACCATTATGGGATAATAAATTATGTATTCTTAATAATATCATCCTGGCAGCTGGGGTGATTTATTCATAATGCCTCAGCATTTTATATGGACGTTAAATGGGCCAGACAGGACACAGAATAGGGAAAACTATAGGAAACAGACAGCCTGGTGTGGTGGTGGTGTCAGCCTGTAATTCTTGCTGCACGGGAGGCTGAGGCTGGTGGACTGTTTGAGTTAAGGAGTTCTGAGATGAAGTAAAGCTAAATCTGATTGGGTGTCTTGCCCAATCTGATACCCCTAAGTCTGCCACCAATATGATAAGCTCCTTGGGATGGGGGAGGAGGACACTCAGCTGCCTAAAGTGGGGTTAACTGGCCCAGGCTAGAAACAGATCAGGTCAAGACTTTTGTGCCAATTAGCAATGGGGTTGAATGGAGATTAACTGCTATGCTTTCAGTCTGGGCAAGATAGGGAGATGTGGTCTCACCAAAAGACTCCCCTAAAAACAAACAAAAAACCCAAGACAGCAGACAGATGTCCAGTTCTGAAACTCCATGATTCCTTAAGCACAAACGAATAGTGCCTACCATAAACAGAAGTGTTGAGAACAAAATGGTGCAAAGAAGTGATTGTGAATATGTTGTCCAGAAAAAACCCTTTGAGGATACAGTAGGTCTTTTTTTTGTTTGTTTGGTGTTTTTTGGCTAGGCAATGGGGTTAAGGGACTTGCCCCGGGTCACACAGTTAGTAAGTGTTATGTGTTTGAGGCTGGATTTGAACGCAGGTCCTCCTGACTCCAGGGCCGGTGCTCTATCCACTGTGCCACCTAGCTGCCCCTATGCAGTAGGTCTAAATCAGAGTTTGGAAGCAGTGAAGTTGAAGAAGAGGCTGGAAGGGATTCCTGCATAGAGTGGAGGGCTGAACCAGATAGAGGATGCCAGGATGTTGGAGCCCATTCAAAACAGCTCTCTAGACCTGATTGTTTAATCTTCAGTGTTAACATTTACACCTGAGAAATCAAGCGAATGTTACAAAACAGGGTTTGAGTTATTGTTTTGTTAATCATTTAGACTTAAGAAAGTGATGGAGAAAATGGTAACAATACAGGTTAAGGCATATCAGGTGTACATTCTCTCCCCCAATCCCCAAAATGGATTGCTGAACATTTACCAGGGCAGCCCTGGCTGACAAGCAACATGGGTTAGCAGACGGCCTGAAGGATTTAGAATCAGAGGACCTGGGTTAAAATCCTGGCTTAGCCACTTAGAGCCTTGGGTAAGTAACCAAGCCTCATTAAGTGTCACTTATCACTTCTGTAAAACGGAGGCTAATAGTGGTTGTATTACACATCCCAGAGTGGGCATGATGATTGAATTAGATAAAGTGTCATATTAACCATATAAAGTCGTGCCTGCTATTATTTATTTCCTAGATGGTCTATGACTGTTTCTATCTTTATAATCCTTGTTGGTGGGGATAGAAAGGGGTAGGGTGGGGATAGGGAAGGGTGGAATGGACCTTGAGAATCTGGAAAATGGAGGAATAGTTGGTGGTATCCCAGATTATCTTGGTCAGAACCAAGAATGAAGAGAAAAAAGGCTGATGAGATGGGGAAGGGGAGGAAGCAACATATGAAGGGGTCCCAAAGGTCACTTGAGAATTTATAGACCATTAAAAGACTTTTAGGAATCATAGAATTCAACCTTTACTTGTTCACATATGTATATATATACATATACATACGTACATGCACACATATATGAAACCTAGACTTGGACATGTGAAGCTTGCCATAAGCTATCCTCATGGTATAATGGAAAGACCACTGGCTCAGGGGTTAGAGGAACTGGGTTTAAATTCTGCTTCTGACATGGACTACCTGTGTGACTATTTCACATATGTGTCACTTAAGGCATCTAGATGGCGCAGTGGATAGAGTGCTGGATTTGCGGTCCTGAAGACCTGAGTTAAAATCCCAGCTCAAATGCTTACTAGCTTACCAGCTCTGGTTAAGTCACTTAACCCCTGTCTGCCTCAGTTTCCTTATCTGTAAAACAAGATAGCACTTATCTTCCAGGGTTGCTGTGAGAATCAAGTGAGATATTTGCAAAGTATTTTCTAAATCTTAAAGCGTCACATACTAGTTATTAGTTATAATAATAATAATATTGTTATTATTATTACTTAATTTTCTTGGGTCTCGTTTCTTAATTGTAAAATGGTGTTGAACAAGATGGCCTTTTTTATATTCCTATGATCCTAAAACGAGCCAGCGAATGGCAGAAATAGGGCTGGAACCCAGGTCTTCTAACTTGGTTCCTTGCTGAGCAGTATCTGATTCCCGAACACTGCTGAGTTTGCTTTTGATATTGGTGTCATAGAGAGCCCCTGCAGGCTGTCAGGCAGGTGCAAGTGATCTGATCCAAGTAACTGTGCCCTCCAAATGACTTCTGTAGGTGTGTTTAGTGACAAGGCAGGTACAAGAAAGATGGGCTCTTGCCAAAGACCCAGCCCGAGGGATGTTTTAGATTTTTTTCCTTTTATGCCCCTGCAACCAAACCCAACTGCTCCAGCACATATATAAGAACCCTGAGCAGAGGTCTTTTCATTCACTGGCTCTGGCCTAATTCCCCTCTACTGGTGGCGACAGTTCTCTGAAGGTCTTCTCTTCTCCACCAGCCATGATTGTCAGATCTCAAGGCATCAGAGGCAGCTCCAGGGGCTTCAGCAGTGGGTCAGCAGTGGTGGGTGGGGGCAGGCGGACTGGCTTCAGCTCTGCCTCCATCTCTCTCGGTGGAGGCTGCAAATCCTCTTCTGGAGGCTTTGGCAGCCAGAGTCTCTATAACGTTGGAAAAAACAGGAACATCAGCATGGTGGGGAGCCGGCAAGGGGCTGGCTTTGGATTCAGTGCTGGAGGCTTTGGTGCTGGAGGCTTTGGTGCTGGAGGCTTTGGTGCTGGAGGCTATGGTGCTGGAGGCTTTGGTGGAGGATTTGGTGGGGCGTTCAGTGGCCAAGGGGGATCCAACTTCCCTGTGTGCCCTGCTGGTGGGATCCAAGAGGTGACCATTAACCAGAGCCTGCTGACCCCACTCCACCTGGAGATTGACCCAGAGATTCAGAAGGTGCGGACAGAGGAGCGGGAGCAGATCAAGACCCTCAACAACAAATTTGCCTCCTTCATTGACAAGGTGAGCTGTCCTAAGTCTAGATAAGTGCAGGCATTAGGTTGCAGAGCACTGGGGTCTCACACTGAAGGAATCCGGGATTTAGAATCAGAGTATTTGGGTATATTTTGGGTAGGCTTTGACAAGTATTAGTCGTGTGACCTTGGGCATGGCACTTCCTCTCTGGGCTTCAATTTCTTCATGAACAAAATGACGTCTAAGACTAAACTCTAAAACTCTGCGATTCTTTTCTAATATGCTATGTGACATGGAGCAAGTTGCTCACCCTTTCTGGGTTTCAATTTTTCCTAGCTACAAAATGAAATAATTTCTCTAACTCAAGTGATCATAGATCAGTTTTCAGATAGATGACACACAGCACCCCACCCAGAGTCAAGAAGACCTGAGTTCAAATTCTACCTCAGACCCTTACTTAGTTGCATGACCCTGAGAAAGTCACTTAACGTCTGTTTGTCTCAGTTTCCTTGTCTGGAAAATGGGGATAGTAATAGCACCTACTCCCCAGGGTGTTGTGAGGATAAAATGAAATAATATTTGTAAAATATACTCTGCAAACTAAAGGTTTGCTACATAGCATTATCTAAATGCTAGATGTGAATGCTACCTCCTGGAACTGGTAGGTGAACTCAGGATATTATAGAGACCAAAGTAAACCTGCTGGTGATCTTTGAGTTCACAGGCTGTGCTATGACATGTTGGACAAATGATAAATCCTTTGGATTCCAGTCCTTCTGGTTGTAAAGTAGAAATCACCATTCCACTCAATGGCCTCTCCATCTAAAAAAAAATTTTTTTGATGAGGCAATGGGGTTAAGTGACTTGTCCAGGGTCACACAGCTATTAAGTGTTATGTGTCTGAGGCCAGATTTTAACCCAGGTCCTGACTCCAAGGCTCTATCCACCGTGCCACTTAGCTGCCCCTATGGCCTCTTCATTTTGAGAAGGTTTTGGCTTGGGGAAGAATATGGCTTAACTCCACTGGAGTGACTGTGAAGACAAAAGAATGGCCTCTCCTCTAGTCCATGTCTGGTCTAGCCAATGGGTTGAGTAAGAGCCAGATGTGATGGCTGGTAGAGTGCTAATCAGCCTTCAAACAGCTGAGTCATGCATTTGAAAGAACTGGATGAGTACGATGCCTAATGCCCTTTCCCCCAGTTGCCACGACAACTCTTTCATGAGTTCTACTCAGATAGGCTTTTAAAAATACGTCTAAGTCTTGCTCATCCGATGTGCAAGGGCCAGATCAAGAAAATTTTGAATGTATCTAATTAGAAGTTGACAAAAAAGCTCTGGATTTTGAGTCTAAAGACTTGTGTTCAAATCCTGGCTCAGTAAGTTATTACCTAAGTGATCTCTAGTAAGATATATGACGTCTCTCTCTGTGCCTTGGTTTCCTTTTCGGTAACACAAGGTGGCTGGATTAGAAAATTTCTAAAGGTCCCTCTAGTTCTAAAATCCTTAATGATTTATTATTCTTGTTAAAGGCCAGAAAGTGGGGAATATCATGGCCTTTTTGAAGTATATACCAGTATTAGAACATGTAACATGTTACATCTTCTAAAGCTAATGTATATCCTAATACACTACTAAGTATACATTAGTATTAGAATGCATCTGTGTAAACTTAGGAAGTATCATTGACTCTCAGTGCTTACTGATCTGAAGGAGACCAGTTTTGAGGCCACCTTAATCTTCCCTTATTTCACTGGGCTGAGATCTAGGTCATTCCAAGCTTCTTCTATTTACACACTATATATCTTTTATACACAATTATTTTTTTTCATTATTGAATCTTATTTTTAATTTATGGAATAAAACAAGCATTTCCATAACATAGTACAATAAAAAAGGTGATTGCGCACAAAACCACAAATCTATTATGCACAACTTGCTATTTCTTTCAAATATACAATGAAATTATCATGTAAATTTCTTTTTTTCTCTTCCCTCCTCCCCACCCTAGGGATGGCTACCCATAGACACAAATATATATATATATATATTATATATATATATATATAATATATATATATATGAAAAATTATTCTATGCACACTATTTATCAGTTCTTTTTCTGATGCAAATAGCATCTTTCTTCATATGTCCTTTGTTGTTAATTTAGGTATCAAAATAACTTATTCTTTCAAAGTTATTCTTAAAACAATATTGCTGTTATTGTATACAATGTTCTCTTGGTTCTGCTCATTTCACTCTTCATTATTTCATGCAAATCTTTCCATGTTTTTCTAAAATCATTGAGCTCATCACAGTAGTATTCCATCACAATCACTTTCCACAACTTGTTCAGCCATTATTAATTATGCACAATTATTTGCGTGTTGTCTTTCCCATTAGGATGTGAGCTCCTTGAGAGCAGGGACTGTGTTTTTGCCTTTCTTGTTATCTCTAATACTTGGCACAATGGCTGGTCACATAGTAATAAATGCATAGATGTTGAATGATTGTCCTTCCACTGGCAACTCCAAGGAACATAGTGAGGGACCATTTAAGGCAGAAGTTATCACTGAACCAAACTGAGAATTCATGTTTGAGTGCTTACCTAAGCCCTTATCCTGGTGTGACCTGTCAAACTCTTTTCACTAAAGGAAAGCTTGTAGTTACTGTATTTCTAATGGAAAGCAGAGAGTCATAGACTGTTAGTATTGGAAAGAATCTTAAAAATACAACTGTTTCATTTAAGAGATAAGGAAATTGAGACCTACTTTTTCTAACGTACCTTCAAGCTCTGAGTTTATGATTATTCTTCCCTCTACTTCTAGTCAAGATTAGATGACTCACTTCTTAACTCCCCTTCTTTTCATATGGAAGGTATTTCTCTTTCAGAAACTCAATTGCTGGAAGAGAAGAACAGTGTTCTTTCCAGGGACTCTGTTTTCAAATAAACCATTCCAGGGTGTCTGGAAGTCAGAAAGGTCTTTATTTGCTCTACCTTAAGCCCCTGAGGCCTTGATGAATCAATTCTGTTTCTGAACAGAGGGTTTCCCTTCTAAGGCTTCTTTGGGTTAGCTGAGCTGCACTGCCCAAGGCTATATAGCTTCTGACACTGGCCACTTGGCTTCTTTTTTTTTCTTCTGTAGGTGAGGTTCCTGGAGCAGCAGAATAAAGTCTTGGAGACCAAGTGGAATCTCCTGCAACAGCAGACAACCACCACATCTAGCAGAAACCTAGAACCTTACTTTGAGACCTATATCAACTGCCTGAGGAAGAAGCTGGACAGCTTGCTCAATGACAAGAGTCGCCTACAGTCTGAACTGAAAACTATGGAGGACAGTGTGGAAGATTTCAAGAACAAGTGCGTAGGGCCTGGAGTAGTGGGGCAAGGGCTGTCCCGCTGCCAGGAGTCGGGCTGGTTGATTTCTGGGGTCTCTTCCCAGGTCTAACTTTCTGGGAGCCTGATATCACGTGCAGATGACCATTCTCAACCCAGGCATACTCTCCTTAAGCTCCTAGTCATTAGTTTAGAATCAGAGATACTGAAGGGTCAATAAAGGTCATTGAGTCCATCTTCCTTCCTCTAGACATCCACATCTTTTGCGCTCAATAAATTGGATGGTTAAATAAATGAGTGGATGAATGGATAAACAAATAAACGAGGAAGTGATTTCATATCACCAATAGCCTAGTTGACATCTAAAACCAAATATCTCTAAGTCAACGTGTCCAAAATAGAACTCATTATCTTGCCACCAAGCCTAGGCCTCTTCCAAGCTGAAGTTCAAGAATTAGAGGCAGTTTTGATGTGATAGAATGGTCAAATAGAAGACTTAGAGTAGTGGAAATAGGACTGGCTTGGTAGTCAGGAGAACTGGCATCTAGTTTCAGCTTTATCCCTGATGAGCTGAGTGACCTTGGGCAAATCACTTCTCTGGGCCTAAGTTATCCTCATCTGTAAAATTAGATTAGATGATAGTTAAAGTACCTTTCAGGTCTGACATCTATGATTCTGATTCCCAACTCTTATAAGCAGTCAACTAGTGTAACTTAACTCAAAAAATTGGAGACCAGATAGGCATGTGGTGGTGAGAAAATACAACTCCTTCTTCTTGTGCTAAGAGAGCTGTTTCTACACTGTATCAGAGGGTCTCAGATATTGGCAAGGCATCACTATGATGGCCAAATTGAGTAGAAATCTTGAATTCTTTCCTTCTGTTAGCATCAAATTACCTGGCTGAGGGCCAGCTCTTCTCTGTGTGGCATTATGTAGACACAAGTCCTCAATTTCTTTTCTTCTCCCTTTAGAATAAACATTTAAATTTTCTCTTTGTTTCTATAATGTCAAGATTGATTTCCAGGGTTTCAGTCTTATGGAAGAATTCTGGAAAATTCTATTTTCTGGACATTTCCAACTATCTGAGTGTTTGATAGCCTTTAGTTATGTGGCTCAAGAAACATTAGCTAAGCATGCTTTCCTTCTCCCATCCCTCTTCTCTCTGACCCCAACAGATATGAAGAAGAGATCAACAAGCGTACAGCTGCTGAGAATGACTTTGTGGTCCTCAAGAAGGTAGGATGTGAGCTCTCCAAAGGACTGTTTTCTTGTTTTTTTGGTGTGTGTGTGTGTGTGTGTGTGTGTGTGTGTGTGTGTGTGTGTGTGTGTATCCCTGGAATTTTTGAACAGTGCTTTCCATATAGTAGGCAGTCAATGAATGCTTATTGAATTAAGCTGATGATGAAGAGGGCAGAAAAATGCCTGTTATGTCTTTTCTTTCCTTTTTTTGGTCAGTCTCTGACCTGCTTCATCTAGTTTAGCTAGATACTCCGATCAATACCCCAAACCCCATTCCACTTAATAGTGCCTAGGTCAAAGGGAATTGGGGAACTGAGCTGAGATCTGAGAAATTAAGGCTGTATGATTTGTCTAATTCATCCCTTTTCCCCCAGATAGATTTTAGAACTGTCCCTACAGGTAGAATTTGATACCATACTGGCCACTGTCCCCTTCAATTAGTTTTTTTCTATGTACTTATTCAAATCTAACTGAAATCCTTCCTGTTCCATGTCCTTCCAGTAACAAAATGCTACCTTATCTGTCCCTCTTTGTAGGATGTAGATGCTGCTTTCATGAACAAAGTGGAGCTGCAGGCCAAGGTGGATGCCCAAAATGATGAGATCAACTTCTTCAGGGTCCTTTATGAGATGGTGAGGACTCTTATTCTCTGGATCTGTGATACTGCTGGTTAGAAATAAGGCCCTGTGCATTTAAAGGAACTCTTCTTCCCTGTCTGGAAAATAAAAACTCATTGGAGAACAACTCAAAATGGTGGAAGTGATCATAAACCAGAGATTATACAGATGGAAGTGATTAGTTCTGTTAGTAGAATTCTTCAGGGTTAAAAATTCCGTCGGTGAAAGCGACCCATTCCATCTGATGGAGTGCCCCCTGAGTTAAGAGCAGAGTATTCTTTTCATATTTTATTCTTCATATTCATATTCTTTTCAAGATACTCAGTGAATACTAAACTAAATTGAATTAAGAACTTTTGAAACTCAGTTCTACAAGAACTGAGTAGGACTATTCTCCTGCAGAAATTAATAGCTCATACTGCTGCTACCATTTTGAAGTTGCCAAAACACTTCCCTTACAGCATCTCTATGAGGTATTTAGTACAGTGGAAGGATTATCATTTCACAGATGAGGAAATTTTTAAAATATTTTACAGATGAGGAAATTAAGGTTCAAAGAGGTCATGACTTGCTTACAGTCACATAATTAGGAAATATGTGTCTAAGGTGGGACATGAATCCATGTATTTTGATTATTAGATCATGACCTTTCCCACTATGCTATGCTCCTACTCAGTGAGTCCTTTCTGTCCTACTGCTTCCTCTATATAAGTGCTCCCAAGGGGCTAGCAGCTTTAGGCCAATCCAAACCTCTATGATCTAGTCCTACTTAAATTGAAAAAGTAGATTTTTAGCAATCAGAAATAATTTAGAAGGATATACCTTAGGGTGCTGAGGTGAACATCTATCTTTGTACTTTGTAGGAACTGTCCCAGATGCAGACCCATGTCAGTGACACCTCTGTGGTCCTCTCCATGGACAACAACCGATCGTTGGACCTGAACAGCATAATTGCTGAGGTCCAAGCACAGTATGAGGATATCATCCAGAAGAGCAAGGCAGAGGCTCAAAATCTGTACCAGAACAAGGTGGGTGATGGGAGAGTTGGGGGTTGGGCATGGGCATGGTCTGTGAGGCTCTGCTTCTGGAATTTCTAAGACTACTCCACCGTCCATCATTAAGTTCTTGGTGAATTTAAGTAAAAGCCCCAGCTAAGCAGAATGATGGTTAATTTGCTTCAAAGGGACCGTGTAGATGTGTCCCCAAACCAGGCAGAGATGATTAGGGATTATTTAATATTTGGGAATGGGTATTCATGCCATCCAACTTGGAGAATGGACAGTTGACCCACCTTGGCATTTCCCTGACCTTCAGGTCCAGCAGCTTCAGAATTCTGTTGACCTGCATGGTGATAGCCTGAAGAATACCAAGAGTGAGATCGCTGAGATCAACAGGATGATTCAGAGGCTTCGGGCTGAGATTGAGAACGTCAAGAAGCAGGTGAGTCCCACCTCTGTTCCAGAGTCAAGGAAGATGGCATGGGGTGGTATGAAAGTGCAGGGTCAGGGAATGACAAAGCAGAGGAATGCAAGGGAGGCAAAAGGGTGAAGTGGCTAAAACAGATCAGATGGGCATCTGCCCTCTTAATAAGAAGGCTAGAGTAAGGAAACGTGGATCCAGGTCCTAGCACTGCCCTAACTGGGGGGTGACTTTGGATGTGTCATTTCCCCTCACTAGTCCTCAGTTTTCTGTAATAACAATAACAATAATAATAGCAATAATGATGATAACTGACAAGTATCTATTCCTTTCGGGTTTTCAAACTATGTTAGGCAATGTGGCATATAGAGTGGTGAGAGTTCTGGACTTGGAATCAGATTAATAAGCTTTTTTAATACTTTATTTTTGTGAGACAGTTGGGGTTAAGTGATTTGCCTAGGGTCACACAGCTAGTAAGTATCATGTGTCTGAGGCCAGATTTGAACTCAGGTCCTCTTGACTCCAGGGCTGGTGTCCTATCCACTGAGCCACCTAGCTGCCCTGTAAAACTTTAAAGTGAAAGGATTTGCATTTGAATCCTGACTCTACCACTTACAATTGGTATCACTCTTGTCTAGTCTCTTGCCCTCTCTGGGACTCTGTGCTGTCTGACAGTTAATATTTCCTTGCCCCACTCCCCCTATAGTGCCAAACTCTGGAGACATCGGTGGCTGATGCTGAACAGCGTGGGGAGGTGGCTCTGAAGGATGCCCTCAGCAAACAGACTGAGCTGGAGAGTGCCCTGCGGAAGGCCAAGGAGGAGCTGAACCGGCTGTTGCGAGAATATCAAGAGCTGATGAACGTCAAGCTGGCCCTGGACCTTGAGATTGCCACTTACAGGAAGCTGCTGGAAGGAGAAGAGTGCAGGTGAAGTGGTGGCAGAGGTGGGGAGACCCAGAGAGAGCGTGGAAGCCAGTAGGCAAGGAAACCAAACTTGGCTTGTGAGCCCAAGTCTCTCTCCTGCTGCCTGGTTCAAGTCTCCCCTGGAATGTTTAGAATTTTGGTCAGGTCTACTCCAGGCTGGAATAGTTTTCTAATGAGAAGCATCAGACATGTAAGCATAAGGGCCTTTAGTTAGACCTGAGGAAGTTTTCCTTCAAGAAACTGTTGTTCAAATGAAACAGGAAGTATGAAAACAGTATTCTCATCTGTTTGGAAGGGTGAGAGGAATAATCCTATCTAGATGCAAGGACTGGACAGGATGACTTATGATTCACTAGGTATTTTTCTCCTCCCACAGGATGTCTGGAGAATGCCAGAGTGCTGTAAGCATCTGTAAGTAGCCTTTATGTCCTCTTGCTCATGTATTGAGTAAGATTTGGACTTTTGGAGCCTTGGTTTTAGATTTGTTGATTTAACCCAAGACTGTTTATTAATTTTTTTTTCTTTTTGCTTCTCCCCCTACAGCTGTGGTTGGTGGCAGTGTCAGCTCTGGAGCTCTCGGAGGAGGATTTGGAGGCCACTCTGGCTTTGGGCTGGGCAATGGTTTAGGCAGCGGAAGCAGCTTTGGGATTAGCGGTGGTGGTTCCAGCACCAAAATTGTCTCCTCCTCTGGCCTAACCAAAAGGAGCAGCCGATAATGGTGAGATGGCTCCCTGTAAGCACCTGAGTGCACTGCAACCCTATCTCCTCAATTTCTGTGCCTCTTTCACCTAAAGCTCCTACCTCTGCCCCATGCCCTCTGGGCCTGGCTCACAGGAACTGCTTGAGGATGAGAGAATCCTCTCTTCTCCCCCTTTCCAAGAATATCGGTGAAGAGATAGTGTCTTTGGCCAACTTTTTCTAGGTGTTTTCTGCCTTGTTGAGGCTGTGGGCTGGCTTCCTGACTGGACCAGGAGGGAGTTATTGCTTGACTCTCCATCTTGGTCAGACAGAGGAGAAAAATAGCTAGGAGGCTTTTTCCTCCTTCTTTTAAGTAATCATACCCTTTTCTCAATAATATGTGCTCATAAATGGCACTTCTCAATCTCTTAACCAGATGTGCAATCTTCTAGCCATACCATGGTGGGCTTTGCATTCTTCCAAACAGACATGCCCTTTCCCACCCAGATATGGTTTCTTCCACCCAGATCGGGGTTTGTTTACATTTCTACAGTCAGATACATCTTCTCCCACTTAAAATAGGTGATCTAATAATACTTTTACCTCACTTCTGCCAGTCCAAAATTCATTCTCCATCACCAAAAAGTAAAAGTCATGGTTCTTCAAGGTTGACACACAGTCAGTTGTCCTTTAATCTCCTCCTCTTTCCCCCACTGCTCCCTCACTATCTTGTTCTGTTACTGTTTTGGTGTATCTTCAATAAAATGCATTTTTCATTCATCCTGGGCCAATTGTGTTTGTAAGTAGGACACAGGGAAACATGTGGCTGAAATTATTCAGATAGTTCATACCATTGAGATAAAAGTGGCTTCTGGGTGGAATGATTTATTTATGCCAGGGATTCTTAACTTTTTTTTTTTTTAATGTCACGGACCGCTTGACAGTCTGATGAAACCTATGGATCCCTTCTCAGAATAGTGCTTTTAAATGCATAAAATATAATACGTAGGATTACAAAGGAAAACAATGATGCTGAAATATAGTTATTAAAATTTTCTTTAAAGCAAGCCCATAGACCTCTAGGTTGAGATGCTTTAATCTAGAGGCTTTTTCTTGACTTAAGTTTTAGCTTCTTGTGTCCTCTGGCACTGAGTGGCTAGAGGAACCAAGAACGGTGAGAAATATCCACCCATAAAATTGATGACAAGTCCTTGGGTAATGGCAATCTAATTAAACCAAATTCCTCCCCAAAATAAAGAGGCCAAGGCTGAGAGAAAGGCTGGCTGGCTATGCTCTCCAATTGGTCAGATTCTCTACTAGCTAAATTCAACCAACCACTATAAACATTCCAGCTTTTTCACTGGACTCCATGTAGGAAGGAGGCTAAAAATCCAGGGAATGGGTGAGGTCTCCCTGTCAGAAACTTGTTCTAGCATTCGGTTATTGAATGAATGAATGAATGAATGAATGAATGAATGAATATGTTCAGCACATGGAACTTGTGATTTTTCCAGAGTGGGGACTCCTTATGGAGAGGAATATCTAAGCCTCCCATAACTTACAATCTTAGAGTTGCTTGAGAGTTACTGAGGTTAAGTGACTTGTTCACACAGCTGCTAAATGTCAGAGGTGGAATTCGTATCCATGTCTCCTTAAATCCCAAGTCTACCACTCTATCCTCCGTTGACTCTCCATGAAGGGCTGAATAAATATATGAATGGGTAAAAGACTCAACAAAGCATTCTTGTCTCCTTAACTTCCCTGCTTCTTCAGGAACACATCAGTTATGCCCACAGGCTATGCAGTTAAGGAAATAATAATGGGACAGTGAAGAAGGAAAGTCACTCAGGCAACAGGAAGTCCTTCTGCAGATGTAGGGGGAAGATTGTTGTTGTTATTGATAGAGGGGGTGGTAATAGCAATACACGTTTTTTTTTTTTGAATTGAGACTTGGAGATCATGCAGTCTAATGTTTTCATTTTACAGATGAGGAAACTGTCACCTAGACAGGGAAAAGGACTTGGTTAGTGACAGAATTGGGACTGAACCCCAATCTCTTGACACATCCCTTTGCTTTTCTGGAGATTCTGTTTGGGTGAAAAATTGAGAAAGTTAAAGCATATTCACAATCACCTAGGGGCTTAGAGGAGCCTGGGAAGTCATCATACCCAGCTTACTCCTTTCTTTTGGAGCCTGGGGCCAAGCTCTCCCATTACATCTACTTTCAAAGTTCATAACTAGTGTTAAGGTACGGGAAGTCACCACTGAGATATCCATTGTTGAAGTTTTTAGGTGATATTTATTATCACTTATAAAAGATATACAGGATCAAGAGATAGCCATGTCAGACAGTCCCCTCAAGTCCTAGGATTCCCAATTCTGGGGTATAGCTGGTAACCAAATAGATGGTCCTTCACCATCCTCATTTGGGATAACAACTCAGAAGGTTTTTATACAAGGTATTACTAATTATAGCAATAGTAATCTTGTGCTAATAGTACAAGAAGGTGTCAATGGAAAATTCAGTTTAACCATTCTTTGACCCAGGCTGGGACTTTGCCACTATGGTAAGGAACTTCCTTCCCCTTCACCTATAAGTACAATCTTCTTTTAGGGGGAGGTCATCACTTAGAAAAATAATGATAATAATTCTGCACAGGTTTCTGGCCTGAGATTATCTATATAGATTTATGAATACACTGCCATCTATTTTGCAAGCCATCTTTAGTGGAAGGGTCTTCTTAGGTGATAGGGGGTCTCCTTAGATAGAGTCTAGAAGACCTGAATTCAAATCCTATTTCAGATACTAACTGTGTGACCCTGGGCAAGTCTCTTAATCTCTCTGTGTCTCAGTTTCCTCATCCATAAAATGAAAGATTTTAGCTTGATACTTTCCAGCTCTAAATCTAAGTCCAAGAAAACTTCTAGTAAGCTCTCAGATGTACCCATTTCTTCCTCCCCACAATGTTGCTTGTTTCTACCCATCCTAGGTAGATGTCATTGTCCTCCTTGACTGCTGAGTAGCTCTATGGCTCCCTACTACCCCCGACTGGGTAATTCATCATACTTTTTAATTCCAATTCATCTCTCCCCAGTGATAGTTGGCCCTTCTCCTTGCTGTGTAGATCTCATTGCCTCTCTTGTCTTCTGCTTCTTCAACCCCTGACCTGTGAAATCCACCTCTTTGACATTGATGCATGGCTCCAATGCTGCCTTGGGGCATTGGGTGAGCAAACATCCAAATGGCAAATTCCAAGGGGTAGATATTTGGCAGGTGATTTTTATTGAGAAACCCAAACCTGCCAGAGGGCTCTGTCCTTCACAAATACCACTAATCTCCTAATTGTCTCTCTTTCTTATTGCCCCAGCTTCTCCCAGGCATGTGTCAGAGGAGGAAGTCTCCACAATGCTGTCAAACTGCTTCAGTGTCTTCTCAACATTGTTCCCTGCCTGCTGCTTGGCCCCTGGGAAAATACCAGCTCAGCTCAGCTCCAGATGTCTTGGGCTGGGGGAGCCTGGGCTTTGGCAGGGGTGGGGCCTGGGTTTCTTAAGCTCTGCACTCAGCCGTGGTACACCTTGAAAGTTACAGGTTGGAGTACCTTCCCTTCCCCACTTAAAAAGAAAAATACATAAATAGCTACACTTTGCATACTGCCTTTGCTGCCATTCAGGGGCTAATGCCTACATCACTTCTGGGTCTTTATATGTGCATGGGCAAGGGTGAGGGTTTTAATTTAGGACTACAGAATGAAGACTAGATCCATGATTTCATGGGTTTAGTGAAGACAAAGTAGGGCAGCACCTTCTCTGTAATTAGTAGTCTTAAAAAATGTGTCTTTTCTAATTAAAAAGTATTGATTTTCTCTCCCTGTCAATCTCTGCTGGGTGGGCAGAGAGAGAGAAAAACAAGACCTTTTTTTTTTTTACATGCATAGTCAAGCAAAACTAATTCCCACATTGGCCACGTCCCAAAATGTGTGTCTCATTCTGCATTTTGAGTTTATCACCTGTCAGGAGGTGGGAATTAAAAAAAATTCTTTGGTGCTCTGGAATCATGATTGGTCATTGTGTTGACCAGACATCTTAAGTCCTTCAAAGTTTGAAACTAATAGTGTTAAAGAATTGCCTAGACTATTTAGAGTATCATAGAATCATAGATTTAGATCTGGAAGGCACTTTAGAGGCCATTAAATCAACTCCCTTTATTTTACAGATGGGGAAATGGAGGCGTAGAATGGTTAAATGACAATGGTCACATAACTAGTGAGCGTCTGGGGCAGAATTGAGCCTCAGGTCTTCCTGACTCTAGTCTAGCACTCTGTCTGCTCCAAGAGATTAAGTAATTTGCCCAGGATGATATAGGCAGTGTGTGCCAGAGATAGGATGTGAACCCAGATCTTCCTGGCACCAAGAATGGTTCTCTGTCCATTATCCTACAATGCCTCCCATTCTGATGTTTTAATTGAAGTCCTAAAAATCTGATTTTAAATTTGAAAACAAGCAAACATTATTTATGGCACAGTCTCCTGGTGGGAGTCCCATGTTACCCAATCTCTACAGTCAGTCAGATTGGACAATCTGGGTTGAAAAAAAAAAGCCATTTTTCTATCGATTTTGAACTTACACAGATCTGTCAAGCTGGACTGGGGTCAATGCTACCCACCAGGGACTGCACTGTATAGATACAGATGTTCTTGTTTGCTTGCTTCTGAAACCAGTTCAGAAATCCAAGGTTCTGCACCACGGGGTCTAGTGTCCAAAGAAGCCTTAGAGATCCCCGCCTCTAACTGCCTGTTTTACTGATGAATAAAGTGACTTTTCACTGAAAAACAATCTTACCCATTCCAGCAATAATACTATTATGTTTACTATTTTTGTTGTAAATATGAAAACGATACAGGATTTACCAATAAAATATACTAGGATGTTACGTATTTATTGTGTGTTTAAGATTTGTTTGTGTGCTATTGTAAAATTATGATAAACTCATGATTTTATATGAATGCCATTTTGCAGATTGCTTTATGGAAAGTATGAGGGTCTTTTATTTTTTGTAAGAAAAAGAAACCCTTACATCAAGTCTGAAGTCACTGTAAGCTAATTACTTCATATTATAGTCCCAATTCCATTTCTACCAGACTATAAGCTTTTTGAGATTCTATTTACATATAAAGACAAAAATATACCCCAAGGTTGAACAGATATAATTTTTTTGATAAAGCATACTTTTCAACTATATCACTGCTTCTCTGTGTATATGTGTAGACCCTGGAGTTGACTATATACACACATACTATGAGGTTTTGATTTCCGGAGAATTAGGGACCTCATGTCATCTAGACCATCATATACTTGAAGGCATTTTTCCTACAACATGGCCACTTACAAATAAATGAGCACCTACCCTTCACTTGATGTGAAGGGGCAGCCCCTTCCATTTTTGGATGCCTCTAATTGTTAGGCTTTTTTTGTTGTTTCATCATTTTCAGTCGTGTTCAACTCTTTGTGACTCCATTTGGAGTTTTCTTGGCAAAGATACTGGCATGGTTTATCATTGCACTTCCTTCTCCAGCTCCTTTTATAGATGAAGGAACTGAGGCAAACAGGGTTAAAATGACTTGCCCAGGGTTACACAGCTAGTAAGTGTCTGAGGCCAGATTTGAACTCAGGTCTTCCTGACTCCAGGCTTGGCACTCTATCCACTGTGCCACCTAGCTGCCTTATATTGCGTCTGTCTTTTGCTCTTAATTCTGTTCTCTGAGGCCAAATAAAACAAATTGGATCCCTCTCCCATATAACAGCCCTTCAGACACTTGAAGATAACAATCACATCACCCTTTCCCCAAGTCTTTTCTTCTCCAGGCATACTCAGTATCTTCAAACAATCTTCATGAAATCTCATTTCTAAGTGCTTAGCCATTCTGATCCCTTTTTTTTTTTTGGAAGATTACAAACGTCTTTCCTAAAATGTGAGGCCAGAACTTAATGTAATACTGTAGTAATGTGAACTGACCAGGACAGAAGACAATGGAACTGTGTCATTTCAGAAAGGTATAGCATGTCACAGCAGAAGAACAGTAAGTCTGGGACGTTAGCAAAGTCAAGTACAGTGGGATGTTTGCTGGCATATATAAGATCCCCAGTGTACTTTTTTTTTTTTGGATTAGGCAATGGGATTAAGTGACTTGTCCAGGGTCACAGAGCTAGTAAGTGTTATGTGTCTGAGGCCGGATTTGAACTCAGGTCCTCCTGAATCCATGGCCGGTGCTCTATCCACGGTGCCACCTAGCTGCCCTCCCCAGTGTACTTTGACCCAAGGATCTAAGGGATCGGTCCGGTGTCTGAAAGGACAGAGTCTGTCTGTCTGTCTCTGTCTGTAAATTGGCTGCTGCTATGACCAGTGGAGCTGGAGGCAAAGATGTGAAAGCAAACACTGAGGCCTTAGAAACAGCCTCACTGGAGGTCAAATGGCCTGATTAAGGGACTGAGACCAGCAAAAGGGATAGAGAGGAGTTTTCACAGAAGAAGAGACAGAACTGCACCAGTGAGGTCAAGAGGAGTAGTTGGAGAGATCCTGATTTGGTCTCTCCCATATGTATTTGTCTCCAATACTCCCAATATATTGCCTTCCTTTGTTGAATGAACACTGAAGCTTGTATCCAATGATGCTAATTGCAACATTAAGTATGACATTATTGCTTATCCTTATGTAAATGGAATGCTAGGAGGCTAGATAGTGTGATGGATAGAGCACTGGACCTGGAGTCAGGAAAACCTGAGTTCAAATCTGACCTCAGACATTTCCTGGACTTAACTATTGTCTGCCTCAGTTTCCTCAACTGCAAAATGGTGATGAGAATGATAGCACCTACCTCTTAGGCTCTTACAGGGATCAAATGAGACAATATTTGTGAAGTACTTGGCACAGGCACATAGTAGGTGCTATATGAATGCTAGCTTAACTATTGTGGTCATTGTCATTGCCATGAATCTGCACTGTTATTTACTGGCTGTCACCAACTAAGGCTGTTGCTTTGTTATATTATTGTGTTAACATCTAGCATGTGTGGTTTACTTCTTTATTATGGGTTTGATAAATAGAGATGTTGTGGATCATTCCATTGCCCAGAGGAGGTCAAAGTTACTTGAAAAGTATTGCAATGTTTTTGAACTGGAAACTTACAGAGGTCTCTAATTTTTGGGATGGATTCAGAGAATAAAATTAAGAAATTATAAGGTCAGGAGATGAGAAGGAATAGGAGGGGCTAGGGATTGGGTAGCAAAAAAAAGAGAAAGGAAAATACGAATTTAAAAAGGTCCATTGAGGCATTTGTTTAAAAATAATGCATAGAAGAGGACAGAAGGAAAGCTAGAAGGAATCAGTCAAGCAGGATAACTTTGAAAATTATATGTTGAATATGTATTTAAAAAGAAAAGCAAGAGATTCCTAATGGATCTTCAGCATAACGTACAATTCTATTTTTCTTTTCTACTGCATATGGAAAAGCTCATTTTATTTGATGTTGAAGTTCAGAATTAAAAAAAAACAACAGAAAAAGGAAAGACAGGTCAGAATATGAAGAGACTGACTGTATAGTAATTCATAGCAAGGTCAAGGCTGGGGGAGGCCATTTGGATCATTCAAAACCTCCCTTATACAACAATGGTGGGAGGCATTACTTGGGGACTGATCTGCATGTATGCTCCTGAGGAGTAAGAGTTAACCAAAAACATAGATTCCTTCACAAGCAAAGAAGAGATGCTGTGTAGAGAATTTACTGAGCGATAAATTCTCCAAAGAGACTAAAACTTCTTCCACTTCTGGTGGTACAGTGGATAGAGTGCTTGACTTACCGTCAGAAAGACCCAAGTGCAAATCCAGCTTCAGACTCTTGCTAGGTGTATGACACTGGGCAAGTTGCTTAATCTTTGTGTTTGTCTCAGTTTCTTCATGTGTAAAATAGGTGTTATAATAGTAACTACCTCCCAGAGTTGTTGCGAGGATCAAATGAGATAATAATTGTAAAGCGCTTAGCATAATACCCGGCACGTGGCAAGTGCTGTATAAATTTTAGCTTTTATTGTTATTAATAAATTACATTATTATTAATATAATTTAGCTATGCAGAATATAGGAGGCAGATTTCCACTGCAGTGGGAGGGATTAAAGTTAGGCTCAAGAAGGGATTTTCTCAAGTCAGGATCGGGGTGTCAGACTGACCTGGGTAAGCCCAACAATTTGATGAGTCTTGTTCTGAGGAAATCCTGGAGAGTCAGAAAGTCCAGGTGAGGTTATAATCCCCGAGGCAGGGGGATGGTATGAATAACCTCCTTTCCTGTATCAGCATCCTTATGAGTCTCTGATAAATTGCAATACAATGATTCATTCCTTTTTTTAGGTGAAAGAGACTCAGGACTTACCAAAATCCATAATCTGGGTGGAATTAAATGATACAGATATTTTTCATGATGGGCACACCCTAATTTTATTTTCTTCTAGTAGTTTTTGGGAGGTCCCAATTAGAAATGCTATCTGATCTTTAAAAAAACCAAACAAACAAAAAACCAAAACCAAGCAAACCAGTAGTGATTTACAGGTGCTTTTTTTGGACATTATTGTCACTTGCCAATGACTGCGCAGCCCCCATAGAGCTCTTTCTTGTAACAAAGATGTACATTTAAGCAAAAAGCAATAGATTTGGAGCCAGAGGACCTGGGTTCAAATTCTGCTCAACGTATTTGCCAAATCAATTCATCTCTCTGGGCTTCGGTTGTCCTTATTTGTAAAAGTGAGGGGGTTGGACTTGATGACCTCTAAGGTCCTCCCCCGGCTCTAAATGGATGATCCACACTTATGGTCTAATACCTTACTTCTCAGAGGTAGGAATATATTTCACCATCAGTACATGTAGTACACCATGCTGCCTGC